GAAGGTTTCCAGATGGATATGCGGAGCAAATCCATCTGGCGGAGTCAGGTTAGCTTAAATGTCCTTGCTAGCTTTTTAAAAGATAACATATTTTCACAAAACATCTTACGTGAGGGGAAAATAAAAATACTACAATAAAAATTTTTAACCAAAATATATAACTAAAAACTTTCGGCTATGATGGAGAGGCCAGCGCTAAAGGATTATGCAACAATACGAACAGATAGAGCTCAGGTGTTGCCAGATCCTAGTATCTCCAAGGTAGAGCTGAGAAGTGACTTGTTCCTGGCATTTATTAGATATAACACAGTAATAAACAGAAAAACAAAAACATAAAAGAAGCAAAATGAAGGAGAACTTCAGCCGCTTTGCCAACTTATGGAACGGCTGTAAAAGATTGCTGTTTTTCTTCTGAACAAATAATTTAAATGTTTGGTCATAAAACCTTTGCATTAGCATCAGACAACCTGCCAACCAAACTAGAGGTCAGAGTCATTCCAAGAAGTTAAAAACAATCCACTGGACTTTGTTTCCAAGTTTGAAGATGTTTCTCTTCCCATCCAGGAAGCTTTTTTATTTCATAACGTTAGAAATAGCGTTGAGTTCCAGGCTTTATAGAGCGAACCAAAAACAAAGCCTTGATTTTGTTTAGAAAACATGCAAATTGAACCTGATGAGTGGGTCTACCCTATGGAATCAGGGTCATTTTGTTTCTTTGTTAGCCTTTTTTTTTTTTAGCCAAAACCTGCCTATGTTTCTGAAAGGGGGCTTATTAGAGGGAATTGCTGGCCTGGCTGTAAAGCCTTGATCTCAAAGCTATTTCTGAAATTTTGAATTGAAAAAGCTTCCTGGATGGGAAGAGAAACGTCTTCAAAAATGGAAAGAAAGTCCAGTGGATTGTTTTTAACTTTTAAGGAATGGAGCTATTACCTTCAATTAGCTTAAAAATCTGTTATGAATACCAGCCATAAAAAATTAAATAACCAAAAACATTTACTACATTTTGATCCCTCATAAAACAATTTAACTTTGAGGGAGGCTGTGAGAAAACAACTAAAATTCTTCTGACCCACCAAGACAACACCCAGCTGATCCGGAGCCAAGCTGCCATGGATTCTTTAGAGAGAAATTAAAAACTGTGAGATGCCATGACTCTAAAATGCGTTTTTGTGGGATGGATTGTGTTTGCAGCTTCCAGTCACGGAGCGGCAGCTGCATATTAATACAGACACGTCTGCGGTGTTCAAACAGATGCTGCAGTGTTTGCAGTCACACCTAATCAGAGGAAGCTTAACGGTGAGGCTTACACAGGTGTGTTAAGGGTTAACGCATTTGTTTTATTTAACTACGGTATTTACAGTTATTATAAACACAACCATTTTTATATCTTCATTCTTATGAGGAAACAAAGAAGCTACATAAATAAGGTCTCTAATAAACAGAGGTCACCACTTCAGAGCATCTTCTCAATGTGCAGCTTAATAATCTTAATCCTGATCCTCTGTTCATTTTCCCATGTGTTTCAATCTATATTTGCTTTCAAAAAGAGCAGTTTGTTGCGTCAAAGAGTACCGAACCAAATGTCATGAATACATGAATTATCTCTGATCATAGGGAAACTATGGAGGCTGTAATTAATGCTACTCTATCATCTGAAAATGTTACTTAATCTCATGCTATACATCTGTATGTAGATAATCTGTCTGCATGTATGGAGCTTCGTCACACCCGGCAGAGTCACTACCCTATTCGCCATGGAAGCACAATCTGACCCCGATTTTATTTTGTTAAAAAGACCTAAATGAAGTTTTTCACTCCCCAAAAATAGTAAGCATACTAAAATATAATGTGTTAAAGGTTAATAATGTATTTCCTGAGAAAAAAAAAGCCTTAAAATCCTTCCCAATTTTATCCCTCTGTTCCTGATCTGCACCGGAAATGGGCTCCTACGCTACTATCGGGAGCTAACTTTCTCAGCTTTGGAATTAAACATAAATCTGTCTTTTTTTGAGTTTTATGTTTTCATTTTGAGTTAAACTTATGGTAAATGGTGCATAATCTGAAGAAAGAAACAACTAAATGCTCTGAGCATGACCCATGATGACGTCAGAGAACCAGTTTAATGGAGGAAATATAAAAAGCATGAAAAGAGGCTCAGAAAAGTCATCAGGTGTGTTTTAGCATTCTTTAGAGGGTTAAGGATAGAAATAAGTAATTTTAGAACCATAATTAGATTATTTATGGACACCAGGATGTTTATCTGTTTGCACATGTGGGACAGATCCTGCTTCCAGGGGGGAAGGACAGGTGGCACCCAAAGAAAATATGAGTCTATTCTAAGAATAACACAACTCACCACTAAGCTGCATTAATCTATAGATTTTTATAATCACACCTTCATTTATATACAAGAAAAGCCATTCAAAATGTTCCCACTTTAGCTGATAAGCCCTTGGATGGTCCCCTACAATTCCTTTTTAAACATCAATCTTTGTACTAAAATATTATTTCTGTGATGATTTGTGGACATTAAGATCTCAAGAGAAGCTCCTGGTCAGAGCCTGTAATTCAGTGAAAGGATGGAGTCATAGTAACATAAATGCAAGAGGGGGTCACTGCAGTGGCTGGAAGATGGAGGGGATTTTTCTGGGAGTTGCAGGGAAGTGGACTGCTTTTTAGCTGGTAAATGGTAAATGGCATGTACT